TGGCAGGCGGAATGCGTCCGGGTGTTCGGGGACAACGAGAAGCCCCTCCTGATCCAGGAGCTGTGGAAACCCCGAGAAGGCTTGTCCCGGAGGTTTGAGCTGAGGAGGAGGGCAGACGTGGAAGAGCTGGCGGCCAAGGACGTTGACACTGTGACGGCAGGTGAGCAGCTCCGGGAGGAGACTCGCCGGCGGGGCTGGTCAGGGCAGGTGGAGGCCGAGGGGCGGCAGACCACAGCTCGTCTGTGCGCAGGGCCTGCGGTGCGCTGAGTGGCTGCAGTGTAGGCCCCGGTGTCGTCTGTGGGGTCGTCTGCAGTGTCGGCTGCGGTGTAGGCCGCGGGGTCATCTGTGGTGTTGTCTGCGGGGTCGGCTGCGGGGTCGGCCGCGGGGTCGGCTGCAGTGAGTCTGCAGTGTAGGTGAGCGGCCTATAGGCCACGGTGTCGGCTGCAGTGTAGGCCGCGGTGTAGGTGAGCGGCCTGTAGGCAGACCCTCCTGGGTGAGGCGAGTTGTCCTCTCTGGCTGTCCCGTCATTGCTGCAGACACCGTGTCCAGAGCCACTGGTGTGGTTACAGGAAGTCCTGTGCCCAAGGCCTAGTGACTCTTAGGGGCAACCCAATGAGACGATGAGGGGCTGCGGTGTGTTTGGGTGTGGGGGGTCTGTGGGTGCAGGCAGGGGCCCGGGCTGGAGGAGGCCCAGCCCAGAGGCAGTGGGCCCCTGTCCCCCTGAGGTGCGCAGACAGCGGCAGCTCTGAGCCCAGCCCCGTGGCGGGAGGGCTCGGTGACCCGTGGCCGCTGCTCCGCATCTGGCTGCTGTTCAGTTGGTGGAAAGAACTGATTATCTTAATAGGCAAGTGAAACAAAAAATAACTTTTCAAATATCAAGACTCTTAAATGTGTCTCAGGTCACCGTTGGCTTTTTCTTAGTGTCCCGTAGAAACGGTGGCTTTGCATGAGCACGTGGACTTGGCTTGTGTGGCCGTCAAGTGGCCTCAGACCTCGATCTTGTCTTCTCCGGGTGGAGGGGCCTTTGAGCCGTTGCTGCGCTCGCTCTGAGCCGTGCGTCTGCGAGGCGTTGGGAACGCTCCTTCCTCTGGCTTCGCCCGGGCGAACGTGGAGCCACTTGCACTTTGGTGTGTGCAGCCGGTGGTGTGGGGGCTCCAGGGGCTGGTGTCCCTCGGGCCGGGCTGGACCGCTGTGTCACACAGCGACAGCGGTGCCCGATGCGGCGGCCCTCTGTCACCTTGGGCAAATTGCTTCGCCTCTTTGGGCCTCAGTTTTCTGATCTGGAGAATGGGGTTCTGAAGTGATGTGCGTACAGCCCTTAGCACAGCCTCGGGAAGTCCCTGTTGTGTGGTGTCGTCGCTATATTAACACTTCCTGCACGTGTGAGCGGGGTGCTCCGTGCTCACAGGCCAGGGTGCCCAGACGGGGTGGGGTGGGGCCTCGGACAGGGCGCAGGCTTTTACCACTGATGTGCAGGGTTCTGCACATGGGGTCGTAAAAAGCAGGCCACGTGGAGGATGTTATAGTTGCTTTAGGTTTTGTCTCAGACCAGCCCCTGATGGCCACACCCCATGGGCCCCGCGCTGGGTTTGCTGTTTTGTCCTGACCCTCCTCCTTTAGAAGACGTCCCAGGAGGCCAGGCTGGGGTGTGGGGGCGGGGCTGGGGTTCAGCTCGAGGCCACGGTCCCACCGGTATTTTCTCCCTGCGGCCAGCCCTGCCTGTCCTGAAGGTCACGGCCCCAGGTCCCGGGATCGGCGTGGGAAAGCCTGCCCAGTGTCACACAGCTGGTTCCTGGCGGGGCCCTGGGGACGGACAGCACCTAAGGGTGGGCCTGGGTCTTCGCGCCCTGCCCCTCAAGCCCGTTCCTTTCACAGCAGCCGAGGCAAGACAAGGCCGCTGCTCACAGCCTATTCAACTTGGTGGTGGTTTTGCAAAACCTTTCAGATAAAGAGTCCATTGAGCCGGCCGGTCTCGCTGACACACTTCTCTGGCGGAAGCGGGTTGTGTTACCTGCCCGGTGCCGGCCTCCCAGACCCCAGGGAGGTGGCCTTCCTTCCTGGCCTTCCCCTCGGGGTGTGGTCTGGGCAGTCAGTGCCTCCTGACCTTGCCACCCCACTTGCCGGTGACAGTAAAGACAGCGTGGCGATGGGGACGGCGCCCCAGGGCAGGCACGCTCGCCTCTGTCCTTAGAGAGATGGGAGGGCCAGTCCGGGGCGGTGGCCAGGGACAGACCCACGTGGTCGGAGCCCTGCTCCAAAGCTTACCCAGGGTCCAGACCTTTGAGTGAGCGCCTTCGTTTGGTTATTCCCATGATGCATGGATACGTGGACACAGGCCTGTGTGCACTCACACGTGTGCACTGTGGCATGTACACTCTGAACGGCTCCCTGTGCAGTGGCCTCGCAGGTGCCGCCGGCAGCCCTTCACCGCCCTGTGAGGTCTGCTCACCATCCTCTGGCCCCGAGGGAGCGAGCCGTGGTCCAGCTCCTTCCCGAGACCCGATCGGTGGCAGATGAGTGGCCCAGGGCCCCCCTGCCATCCTCACCAGCAGTGGGAACCACAGAGAGACTCAAAGTCACTGTGAAGTGGGCCCTGGCGGGCAGCTCAGCTGGTTAGAGCATCGCCCCTACACCAAGGTTATGGGTTCGATCCCCGGTCAGGGAACATACAGGAATCAATCAGTGAATGCACAGATAAGTGGGACAACAAGTCAATGTGTGTCTGTCTGTCCCTGTCTCTCTTCCCCCTTCCTCTCTAAAATCAACAAAACAAAAAACCCAAAGTGGAGGTGAGGCGTGAAAGGGTGTCGGCCCAGGGCTGGTAACTGGGTTAAGTTTGATGATAAAGGATCTGGGCTCATCCGTCTGCCCTGGGAGGGGCCCTTGTCCAGCTTCTACCACCTGCGGTCGTGTTCCCCGTGAGCAGTGGAGGAAGGGAAGGGACTGCCTGTGTGTGTGTGTGTTGTGTGTGTGGTGAGCAGTGGAGGAAGGGAAGGGACTGCCTGTGTGTGTGTGTGTGTGTCTGCGTGTTCCCCGTGAGCAGTGGTGCAAAGGGAAGGGACTGCCTGTGTGTGTGCGCGTGTGTGTGTCTGCGTGTTTGCGTGTGTGTGAGTTCACCGGCCTCCCCAGGCGTCAGGTCCCTGTCACAGTGATTCCTGGTTCCAGCCGCTGCCCCACATGAGGACCACAGTGGGGCTCACTGGTTGCACTGGTCTCAGCGTTGGCTTTTAGCCAAAGCCCAGGGCGCACCTCGGAGCAGCGGCTGTGTGTGTGTGTGTGTTGGGGGGGGGTGTGGAGGAGCCGGGGGAGCCCCCTGCGTCCCGTCTCCTGCGCATGGACTGGTTCCCCAGGAAGTCCCGTGGGAAAGCGGGGGTGCTGGGCTGCCAGTTGGAGGAGGGGGGAGCAGAGTCCAGCCCCCCCCCCCCCTCGGTGCCGCATTCAGGCAGGAGCGGTGGTACTTGCTTCCCTTCAACTGCCTTTCACAGCTGCGCTCCCGGTCTCCAGAG